CAGGCGCAGGCCAGGCGCAGACCAGGCGCAGACCAAGCAAAACAAATTGCAAATTGCTACTCAAATCTAAACAGCTTAGTTGTTGTTGAGACCAGACTTGTTTGTCATGCATAAGTTGGAGAAGGTGGACGACATGCTGAATTTAATATTTTTTAGTTTCCTGACTTCCCGTCGGCAAGCCTTCTTGGAGACTTTGACTGAAAAAGAACATCTTCCGCAGCGTTCCGGTGCCCTGGCGTCCTTGAAGGAAACGGGAATTCCGGAGGCTGTGGAACTCCTTGGCCTGTTTTAGTCCACGTTTTTAGTCACAGTTTTAATCATTAAGTTTGTTTCCATACCTTCAACTACCAAACAAAATTGATCCACTGTCTGTTTTAGTCATTTAGTTTTGTTTCCTTCCTTTACTTCATCAAACAAAATTTGCCCACAGTTTTAGTCATTAAGTTTTGCTTCCTTACTTTCCTTCACCAACACTTTTGGTCTACAGTCTACAGTTTTAATAGTCATTAGTTTTTGCTTCCTTACTTTCCTTCACCAAACATTTTGGTCCACAGTCTTAGTCATTTGGGTTTGTTTTCTTCCTGCCTTTCACCAAAAGATTCTGTCCACTGTTTTAGTCATCAGGTTTTGTTTCTTTCCTCATTACAAAAAAATGTCGACAGTTTTAGTCATTATAATGTTGTTTTCTTCTTCTACTTCACAAAAAAACTTTGTCCACAACTTTAGTCATTAGTTTTTGTTTCTTTACTTTGCTTCACGAAAACTTTTGCTCTACAGTTTTAGTCATTGGGTTTTGCTTCCTTACTTTCCTTCACCAAAACTTTTGTTCCACAGTTTTTGTCATCAGGCTTTGTTTCCTTCCTTTGCTTCGCCAAAAGATTTTGTCCACAGTTTCAGTCCTTAAGTTTTGTTTCCTTACTTTCCTTCACCAAAACTTTTGATTTGCAGGTTTAATAGTCATTGGGTTTTGTTTTCCTTTCCTTCACCAAAATTGTGCTCCACAGTTTTAGTCATTAGGTTTTGTTTACTTCCTTTACTTCACCAACAAATGTTGTCCGCAGTTTTAGTTATTGGGTGTTGTTTCCTTCCTTTACATCACCAAACAAATTTGTCAACAGTTTTAGTCATAAAGTGTTGTTGCCTTCCTTTACTTCACCAAAACACATTGTTCACAGTTTTTAGTAATTTCCTTCACCCAAAGTTTCTTCTACAGCTTTAGTCTCGAGGTTTTGTTTCCTTACTTTCCTTCACCAAACTTTTTGGTCCTTAGTTTTAGTCATTAGGTGTTGTTTCCTTCCTTTACTTCACCAAAAATATAGTCCACTCTTTTAGTCATTAGGTTTTGTTTCTTTCCTTTACTTCAAGAACAAAATTGTCAACAGTTTAGTCATTAGTTTTTGACAGTCTAGTGACCATACGCTACTTCAGTTGCTAGCGATTAGCCTGTTCAAAGCAAGTGCGTTCAAACCTGTTTCACTAGGGCAGAATTAATCAATGCGAAGTTTTATAGAAGCATGATGACATGGCATATTATACTTGATTATTGCGAGTTTCAATTACTAAAAGCTACCCGGCCTCTTACACAAATGATATGAATTTGCCATTGGCTTGATACTACCTGGAAATCCTACCCCTTCCCTCATCCTACCTCTTCCCTGGTAATCGTGCCGCCCAAATTTGTTCCTATACGTGTGCCACGCTTATGCTGTATCAATTCTAAGACTCTAAGATGTCCTGGTGGCAGGACGGCAAAAAGAAGAAGAAAGACAAAAAAAAGAAGGCTCACGATGGATCTGAACCAACAAGTGTGCACACTCATGTTCTTGGCGTTCAATGACTTGCATTGTGCAAGCCTCCACTATGTCCAACTCAATGCAGCTAGGAGAAGAAAGAAAAGCAGGAAAGTCCGTGCCTTAATTCCTGTGCCATGATTTGGATGTGGGTGAAAATATGATACCCAAACTCAAACCCTCGTAGGTTGACATCCCCAATGGTCCAACTTTGTCATGTAGGTGTGTCACCCATCACCCGCTCCGAATTCGGATAATTCAGTATGCCTCCCTAGCAATGTATATATCCTGACTCAAGATGATTCTACCCCAGACTGGATGATGCTTGTTTGTTCTTGCTTTGTTTCTTAACCTCGATCATATTCCATTAACCCCCCTGTGTGGCAGCGGCCTCGAAAAATCATGGAGGCGAGTCCGTGGGTTGGAGGGCCATTTGGTGTGGCTCGCATGCGTTCATCCTCATCGTTCAACCAGAAAAGAGGTCTCATGTTCAACATGACCATGTCTCTGAATATGGCCATGCAGCTTATGTTTGACAATGTTTGATGTAAAAGCACGGTCATTTTGGCCAACACACAGCTCTCCTGCATTCCAAGGGGTTGGCGGGCCAGTTTTGAGGCGAAGCATCAGCTGAAGGACCTGCCGAGCCAGACCAGGTTGAGGCTTGGCCAGTCGGCCGAGAGGATGTATTGGGACATGAATTCGATGGGATTCACTCGGATTCACCATGTTTATCACGGTCACGGGGGGAAACGAAAGCTCCCTCCCCCGGTATGGGTGAGACGAGACGTGAAGCCCAACACAGTTAGTCAAAAGGTGTAGGCATGTGATGCTAATGGCTTCAGGTACCATTATCAGGTACCTGCAATCTCTTCAAAAGTTGATCAGGAGAACACCCTGGCTGCAGATACGCCACAAAACTCACCGGACAAGCCAAAAGCTAGATATATGAAGCAGACTAACAACCGATTAAAACACAACCTGCCCAAAGACAAGCACTCTCGCACGGTCCCACCATGGTTTTTCTTTTCGCACGCATGGTCAAAGAATCAGTAGGAAAAATGTAGCCGTGCAGATGATGACTGCCAAGAAGCTACTAGGACGCTACTAACTAGGGGCTCCTGGCATCGCTACTAGGAGCAAGTAGCTACTACGAACACCACACGCAGGTCTGGCAGGAATCCTTTGAGACGATGCCCTCTGTCGGTACGTGGCTCATGTCCTTCACCGAGGACGGGTGTCTCGTGGAAAGAACATGCAAGTTGGATCGGTCCGGTCCAGGTGGAAAGAACATGAGGGTTCGGTTCTACCATGGTTCCCTCGAAACTGAACAGGGGTTGGCTTCATTATGAGTGGGAGGGGTCTGGAAACCATCCTCTGTGAAACTGGTCCCAACACCAAGTGGTCCTTGAAAGGGGATTGTCCTTGGAAAGCCGGTCGAGTCGTTCCACGCTCGACGCTCCAGATGCATCAGTTGTTGGAAGAGTACTGTAGGAATACATGGTTGAATACGACAGAGTAGTTCGCCCATGTTCACCCGACATTGGTAAGAGACAAACACGAGCACCATTTGCCCAGTAAGAGCAACATGCTCGTGCTTTGCGCAGGCACAGGCCCGTGGATTGAAACGATTGACCCCCGGACCACCACCATCAGAAGCTTGACGGACACGGCCCTTGGGAGTCTTTCAAAGTCTACTTGGCACACCCTCCCAAACTTCGACCATGCCATCAGATGCCATCCAGAAACTTCGACCGGAAGACGTCCGCCCGGGTTTTTGTCCGCACGGTCTGAATGTGGAGGAGGACCTCCTACGACCAACGACAGTGGACGCTGGGCTCATATGGACCTTCCAGACAGGACCGAAGAGGATCAACGGTGTTGATACAGGTTGATATGGCGAAACTCAAAGAAGGGAACAGTCTGTCGGAAGAGTTAGTTGGAAGAATGAACATAACCCAATTCAAGATGTTTATGATGTTTGAGCCATACCCATTTTAATATCACTGCGCTCAATGTTCATGTAAATGGACAGGTAACGGGTAGTGAACAGATGGATCCAAAGAGTGACACTGTGTGACAGTGCTCAGTGTTGGAAACTACTTAAAGATGCTTCAATGATACTTCCAAAGGTGTTCAGACTTTCAGGTGTGTAGCTGATGGGCATGGCATGATGCTAAGTTCTAAACCTGAGCCTTCATAGCAATCTGGCAGCCGTCATATTTCGGTGGGTGTCGGACATGGAGGGTCTTTGGGTACCACCTTCCAAATGCACCTTAAGTGGTTCTTGGTTCATATTTGTTCCATCTCTTCTTCACGACCCACACCGGGTGTTGACAAACACTTTGGACACCTTCCGCGGACACCTTCCAGCTCCGCTCCGGAGGTGTCCTCGCCGCACAGCGTGGGCGAGTCGTTCTTCTCCGCCACGGCGGGCGCGGAAGCCGTCGGGGGACGCAGCGGGAATCGATGCGCCCGGCGGGTCGCCCGAAGGCACAGGTCAGTCGCGCGTGGCAGAGGGTCAGACCCCCACGCATGAGAGCTCCGTTGGTGTGGGTCTGGCCCCAAAGTATGGCCAGTATGGCAAGGCAAATTGTAATCAGATTGATCAGTAAGAGGCAAAGTAAGTAGATCAGAACACACCAGAACGATTGAACCTGTAGCTGTTGAGCTGTTGAGAGAAAGGAACACAGGCCCTTTCTCCGCGACCGATCGAAGATTGGATGTGGATCATCGAAGATGCCAAAGGATCATTCCATTATTGGAGGGACACCCACAAACAACTTTTATGTGTACATTTTGTTTGTAGCGCGGTCATGTTCGAAATGGCCATTTTTGCACATCCATGTTTCTTCTTGGGAGTCTGTGATTCCGAAATCTCTAACAGGGTTCTAACGAAAGGTTGGCACTATCTATCCCCGTACTGAAACAGACTGAAACTATTTCCACATCATTCTGGAGCGCATCGAATACTGTGCTCCAACTGACTAGCATGGCAGTGGCGCCACTTCCACATGTTTTCCATTGCTTTCCCACCACTTCCGAGAGTCAGAGGGTACTCCCTCGTGGCGCACTCTTTGCTGAGTCTGTGGCTGATGCACTTCTGGCGATGGCCTTCGGCGACCTGCTCCCGGTGCCTCACCGGGAGAAGTCTAGAATGTGAGGAACAGAACACCAGCCACCCATGGCCACCCATAGCTACCTCGGTGTCGAACAGGGGTCTATTCATTCGGCGAAGACTTCTTCTTCTTCTCCTTCTTCTTTTCAGACCGAATGAACAACAGTGGAGCTCTGCTGAGCTCTCCGTGGAGCTCGGTTTGGAGCTCTCTGGTTTTTGTCTTTTTGTCTTGGACCGATCTCCTGACCGGTCCGACGGGTCTGACCGATCAGTGATGTGATCTTTAATCAGCAAAGGTAAGTTTTGTAGTGAACAATCAAGGACAAAACCGATTGAGCGGGATCAAAGGCTTCAAGATACCGAGATCCACTGTGTGAAGGCTGTTTCTGCGAGTTCCAGATACCGAGAGAAGAGACAAAGCTTTCAGACCCTTCCACAAAGGTTGCGCAAGGAGTCTAGAGGGTTTGGTACATGGCCGCAGAACGTGAAAAACACGGGATGAACAACATGCAAATGTGGACGGTGTGGACAATGAAATAGAAAATCGAGCCGTGATGTGCATATGAATCATATGAATGCCTAATTGGGCAAATCTATGCGTAAGGATCTGGTACTCGACTATATATATCGCTTTTCTTAAGAGCAACACGCAGCTCACGATTATACATTGCTCGTTTGCAGGAAGGACAAGTTTCTAAAAGAATGGGAATGCTGCAGGCAAAGGCATTATGGAATGGTGGTTTACTCAGAAAAGGATTAACGAAGTCCAAGATGGCCTGCAAGGAACGACTTTTTCAGAAGAATGGTCGGTGGGCAATGCCTGCGGTGTTCAGGTCTCATCGAAACCCGAGAAGGTCAAGGTTTTGGAATACTTCGGGATAAACTGTCGTTCAGTAAGTGCTTCAATGTGCTTAACTACGATGTGATTCTGCTTGTTCTGGAATGGACCAGTGAACCGGTGGCAGACGGCAATTTGTGCATGTGGTGAGTCAGACGGCAGGTGCTGCAAACGAATCGGAATTTTGGTAACAATGTTGGAAGGCAGCCTCTTCATATATGGTGGGTTTTATGACTTGATCAATAGCCTACAATAGATTATTCGCCTTTGCCTTGCGTACACTGACGAAGGTGAGGCTTCAGCCTCCCATACAGCACTTCTTCTCAGCTTTTCCCCGAAAGCTGTGGCGAGAACACGGATGCTTCTACAGACTGCGTCCAATGCCGAGCATGCCAGGAAGCGGTTGAGGAGATCGCTGAATTGGTCGGCCCCCCAGTCACGAAGGAAGGACGAAGGAAGGCGTTGTTGGGCAGCTCTCCCTCCCTCTGACGGTGGGATAACATCAATCACACTGTTGAATAAATGCGCGTCTCAAGCATCATTCCATTCCACTGGAATGTACCGGAGTAGGGTTCTCTTTTGTTCAAGCCCCTTGGATTCCAGAAGAACCCTTGGTCACCACCTGTTCAGGTTGCTGGGTTCCTCCATCAATCTGCTCCAGGGTCCATGATTGAGATGGACAAACCGAGGTTGTCCAAAGGTTTCAGATATTTTCAGATCTTTTCCTTTGGATGTGCTTCCTTTGAACATCTGAACCTTTTGATTGACATAGACATACAGATGCATGTTTTAGTAGATGCATGTCTACAGATGGCGCACGACCAGAGGGCTGTTCTCTTCAGATCCTCGAGTGAAAACGACCGGGACGAGACGGACCGAGGGCTCAGATGTTGAGGGATGTTGAGGGTGGTTAAACGGTTCAACAACGGGGGGGAGGGGCCCCCCGTGGGGTTTTTGGAACCTGAGACGTGCACAAACAGCATGAAGAGATATTGTTTGAGTCTTTTTTACACGAGAGAGAGGTCGATGTCGTGTTTGTGAGGTAGAGGCAGAGCACACTGACGAGGAGCTGCATGTTTGCTGGAAAAGCAAGCAGGGTGGCGACGTGTTGCGTGTTGGCACTCAAATTCCGTCGGCTTACTAGAGGTTCAAAGCAGATTGGGCACAGGCACATACGCTAACCATGGATCATTTGAGGTCGATGTCCATCTTACAATCCACCAAGCTTGGGTAAGAAGGGCCAGGTGGTCGGCATCCCCAGTTGGTTCTGCATTTTACACTCATCTCAGCTCGGGCATTTGGGACTCACGATGCTTCACAGTGGCTTGGTATCGAAACGGTGAAGCAGCTCCTTCCTGCCCTAGATGCAGTGTTATATATATATACATAGTTGTGCACCTGGAATTAAAATTGCACCTAGAGTCTTCGTTGATGTAAAATTGCACCTGTCGTGCAACAGACGCTGGCGACCCGTCAGGAGTCTGAGTCCTCAGCCTTGTTGGGTGCACGCGCTGCTTGACCCTGAGCGCTTGAGAGAAAGAGCTTTGTACGGTCGGCACGGCCGGAACTCAAGGACAGAAAGAACCGACAATGATTCTACGTAGAACACCTTTGACCCCCGTTGGTCAAGGCCACCATGCGTAATGCGTAGAGATACGCAAGTTTGATGGCGTGATGCAGCTCAGGGGATGACATGACATGCAGCAGAACCCGGCTCTGTGATGGTTCCGTGATTGATCTGGGGGGGTTCGATTCTTGACACCATGGTTCTGTTGTGATTTGGGGCCTTGCCTGGCTTTTTGCCATGTGTGCTTTATTAAAATGTGTTATGCAACTCTGAGGCCATTGCACATGCCATTGAGCATGCGGCAACTGTCTTAGCGGAGCAGGACACTGTCCCGAAGCCTCCATGGCTGGAAACTTGGACTCGTCTTTGGGTACCAATCTCATGTGGTCCTGTAGCGAAAGCTACATAAAGCTACTCCATAGCCTGATAGCTACTCCATTATTTTTGCCGCGCAGGACGCGAAGAGCGAAAGCTCTGCGGTGATCGGCGCACGGGCGGCGTGAGCCTCAGGCTGAACGGACACGGAAACCCGGTCAGGAGAGAATCGGAGACCAGGGACCACCAGGGACCACCAGGGACCTGGAGGGACCTGGAAACTGAAGAACTTCTGAGATGGAGGATGTTCAGTCATGCTAGGTATGATCGTGGGACGGCTGGATGATCTGGGGGCATGTTCGATCTCCGACGGCTGAGGCGATCGCCCTGGCGATCCAGAAAGCGGCTGAGACGTTGAGAGAGGCACAGGAGTTGCAAGAGGCGCAGGAGGCAGATGGGAACTCTGGAGCAATGAGCAACCAAACGTCCCAGGTCTATGTGAAGTGTCCGCAGGTCAGTTCTTGACCGTGTCAGGTTTGGGAGGGGTGAAGTTTGGGAAGCGGACCTCGAGATCCACTGGAAATTGGAGTGGATCACAAGATGCGGTGTGGACATGCTTGGATGCGGACTTTAGTCAATGTCTGACGATTGAGTTGATTCTGAAGCCAATCCAGTGTTGCTGATCCTGCAAGTGCAGAGAGGGGAAAAGGTGGGAAGTGAGTCAACAATATAGATCCCCAAGATGTTGGAAGACGCACAAAGAATCTTTCCACGAGGCAATTCCTTTTTCCAAGTCTCGTTTCCAATAAGATGAGGCCACTGAGGCGGTCACTGACACAATGGTGTCCTGTCTAACGGGGGTGAGCTGCTGCTGCGGATCTGATCAGGGTTGGGGAATACCAGCGTCACATTGGCAGTGTCTCAATCTATCTCCCAATGGAGAGAAGACCACCAGGACCACCATGTACTCCGTGGTGGAAGTGTGCCCATGTCTCCAGAGTTAAGCCAGCAAAGCCTGGACACACCTCCCTGGGGCCTTCTGGCTCGGACAGGTGGAGGACCAACCGCATGAAGAAGACCCAGCAGCTCAGAGGAAAATTGAGCCTTTTGAGGTTCTGCAGGGTGTTGGTCCCTCCTGTCAAAGATGGCTACAGCCACCCCAGTATGAGCTTGGTGGTGCTGGATTTCTCCCAGTCAACTGATGATGACAGAATATGACCATGAAGATGACGAGTGTGACAGTAAGAAAGTGTCAAGATCAGGTGATCATCACACAGAAAGAACTTCACACACACACACAGAATGTTTTGCTGGTTACGGTTCGTTTTTGCAGTGTGGAATCACAGATGACGAGCTGACTGCGAGTGTGAATGTCCCAGAAAGCAAAGGCAGCAGCTGGAAGCAAACGGAAGACCTGGAAAGAAGTGAAACTACACAGGATCCACAGGATCCTCCTTTCGGAGTCTCAATAAAAGCAACAGTCTCAAAGGCACGCAAATATGACATGATGATTCGACTAAGTTGCTGAGTCATCAAGCATTGGTTTGGTCGAAGTATAATAAGCACCTCCGACGCGGTGATGATCTCTCGATAGCCTTCCTTGGTTGACAGAACCTACTAACTAAAGGTCATATTGCAGTGCCAAGAGAATTCCGCGCGCCAAAGGAAGAGATTCAACCAGAAGTTCAACCAGTTCAGCCAGAAGTTCAGCCAGAAGTTCAGCCAGAAGTTCAACCAGTTCAGCCAGAAGTTCAGCCAGAAGTTCAGCCAGAATTTCAGCCAGAAGTTCAGCCAGAAGTTCAGCCAGAAGTTCAGCCAGAGTTGCCACCGGAGGTTGGTTGCCATTTTGCATGGACGAAAGTGCGAAGGGAAGGGATGTTGGATTTCTATCCATCATGATTGGTCATTTTGACCAGTGAGTTTACATGATGCACTTTCAAACCATGAGCCATGGCCGTGGTTTGACGAACACACCACACCGTTCCAGCCTGGCAGGTGCCTGAGGTACAGCCTGAGGTGCCCGAGGTACAGGTGCGGCATGAGGTCGAGATCGAGGTGGAGTCTGAGGACGAGCAAACCGAGTCACTGCCTCAGCACCTGTGACTTGAGCAAGAAAAACCCAACCGATGCCCTCCAACCTAGAACGGGGGACAGACGTGAGGAGTGATTTAATGGCAGCATGTAGGGTGTGGCAATGTGTGGCATGGGGATCAGCTGGCAGCAGTCTGCAGTGGTGGGTCATTCTTGTTTGGTTGCAAAATAAGGAAGAACGGTCGTCAATGAATGCAGATGACATACTCTAGTTGATCTACTTGCAACTGGCAGTGCCGAACTTTAGAGAGCTCGAAGTTATGCGGGTGTGGTTTTTTACGCGTTTTGTGTGTTTTTTTTCTTATAGATTTTGTAATGGTTTGAAAGAGTTTCCACGGTTGCGGTCTAGATATGCTCAAATTCAGGATCCCAATCTCTCATGCCCAGGTGTTGCATCTACGCAGCCGCCTTTGGTCCCAAATGAAATTGCATACATACAGCCACAAGCCCAATGCCAGCTGTTTGATGCACCCAATGCTTCATCTCATCTCATCTCATCTCATCTCATCTCATCTCATCTCATCTC